GCCACGCTCCGTCGAGACTAGTTAAATCCCAAGTGTCGATTACTTTCTGCTCTCCCGCAGTAGTCGGCACGACAGCCTACAGTTTTTTTATCAAGTTATAACTTGTTCACTTGCTAAATTTTTAAAATTTAAAAATTTATTCTAAATATCATTGAAACATAAACAAATAATATTATGCATCAACTTTTTTAGAACGTAACCGTGTGCTTTTAAGCAGTGCAAGATTTACTGTAAAAATTTTTTGCTGACCGCCATTATTTTTTCCTGGACTGTACTTGCCCTGAATTTAATAATAGAATGAGCGCACACCGTAGCCAAAATTCTTAACATTTTAATTACTATGTCTACGAACTTAGAATCTACTTACCTCGGCTAAAAGTTAAATCCTGGTTACGCAACAAATTGTTAAATTTAATCTACATATAAACTACATTAGTCAAAAGCATAAAATAATCACCGAGAAAATAAAAATTTGTTCATTCACGCCTTTAAATTATCAATATGCTCCAAAATTTAAATGACAGTAAGTGTTCAGTAATAATGTAAGTGTTCGCTTTACGTTTTGCACATACAAGAGACGTACTTGGACTCTGACGAATAATTATGGACATGTGCTAAAGTAAGCGAGTATGGTTGCAGGAAAGATGGGAGGTTACCCATATCTATGTGGACATTTTTCTAAATGATTATTTTCTACAAACATTTGTGTCTATCATGCGAAGAGGTCATGTGAAACAACATCCTCTAAATGTACGCTCTCCATAAATGCAAGCACATCGCGACGTGCATTTAAAGAGTTCACCGTACATAAATGTAACACCAACAGAATCGTGTTCAAAACCAGTTAGTCTGTGGGGGGGGAAAGCTCGGGAAACAGCCCAGACTGCGCTTTACCATAAAATCCTGAATAAATGTGATCTTATTATTAGAACGAGAGATTGAAGAGAAAGCTAGACATCCAATATATATCAAATTTTCATTCCAAGTATGAAAAGTAAAGTAAATGTATTATTAAAAGCTAAAGGTTTGCAACTAAATACTAACAAAAATATTGATTATATAGTATTTGTTACAAATATTCCATTATAAACAATTTGTTGCTCATCACAAAGCCTCATATTGGAAGTGTAACCGTATGGACGAAAATTTTAATTTTAAAGCTCGAGATCAGAGGCTACAAATAAATTAATGTATAAAGTTTTATTACAGAAGACGTTTATTTGTTGGAACAAATATGTAAAACTTATTTTTATTGCTTTTTGGTATTTCTCATTAACATTAAGGGAGTAATACCAAATATTCCCGCAAATAAACACATCACACACACACACAAAGTTGTACTTTACAGCCACATCGGAGTCCGATGACTGTGAAGAGTGTATGACTACCGTATAAAGTGCTCTTTTTAGCATATGTACAATTAATTAGCTCTGTAAACTTGAGACTGTATTGCAAACGTGCCTACAAAGGGGGGGGTAACCATGTATTTTATTGTTTACATTTATCAATGCTCTGTTAATGTTATGTTAAAGAAGTATTTTATTAGTGCTTATATAAATATCTAAACGCTACAATGAAGCAATACTAGCATGTGCCTTGCATCGCTATGCATTTGACTGTCGATCGATAATAAAATCTGTCTGTATACTGTAAATTGTGTATTACAACATAACTTCATTATCTATTATTCCTTATTAATCCATTGTCAATATTATACGAACTGCTCGTTAGTATATACCGACAAAACTCGGCGACATGAAAAAACACATGGCGGAATCTTCACGAGGAAGAAATTTCCTTTCTTATATAGAGTTGCTCGCAAAATATCCGTTTCCTTTTCCTCATATAGCCGATTCGGTGTAACAGAAATGTGCCCGAAAAATGATAGAGAATTTCCATTTCTAGCTACAATTGTTTGTACAACCCTTATAGGACCAGAAAAAGGTAGTATGATGATCATCCGTTCCTAAATATAGATTGTTTCTATGCCGCATGCAGATATCAAACCTGCTATGTCAATTTAATTTATCGTAAAAAGAACCCCTCCCACAAGACAGTTGCTATAAATATAATGCATTGTAATGGTGAGAAACCTGAAATATTACAATTCGTTAGGCAAACTTGATATCTCACTTAACAAAACAAATTACTTCTCCTATCGAATTACTTTAAAGTTTTCTTTACTCAAAATAGACAGAGACATGACATTCTCAACCATAATATTTTTTGTCACCACCTTATTATTATTAACGAGCGTACAGGCTACGCTATCAATCACAAATCCTACAGGATCCACTACATGGACGGCCGGAAAACCTGTAATTAGTTTACTTTTATTTCTTCTGTCTTGTGGGAGACATTGCCATACGACACTTTGCTAATCTTTAGACTTTAGGCAACTATAACGTGGACTAACAGTGACACAACTACAGCAACAATTCCACTGGTACTTCTGAATGGTCCCGAAAATAAGTTGAAACAAGTTTTCACTATTGCTGAATCGGTTGATGTCAACAAATTGACCTTTACTTTCATAGTACCTTCTACTGTTGCCAGTGGCAGTGACTACACCGTCCAGATCGGTGATAAGGATCCAAACTATTCTGCTCGCTTTACAATTATAAGTAACACTAGTAGTACTACTGCAGCCAGTACGACTACTAATACTAGTCCGACTAGTCCGACTACCAAATCTGCTGCTACAAAACCAACAAGTTCTGCAGTCTCAAACAATACTTCAGCTACCAATAACCCTAGTCAACCTACACGACCCAAAAGCGCTGCCAACACGGTTGTACCAGCTCTTTATTCTCTAACAACGGTCTTGGGTGCTATTGTTCTCTTACCTTTTCTTTGAAAAGAAGCAAAGCAAAACACAAAGTTGAAACGTATGCAACAATCTATTCAACGGCTACATTTTCTTGAAAATGTTTTTTATGGTCATTTTACTTAAATTCCTGTAGCTCATACATTCATGCAATTAATTAGTCAGTCAAAAATTATAACAATAATTACCTTTTTTAATTCTCGTAGAGTAGAGTATAATTTTATAATCACCCATTTCATTCATTTTCTACAAATGTTTAGTAAATTTATTAGTGACTAACAGTCTTGTTCATTAATTATTCACGTGTTTATTAACTACAATAATAATAATAATAATAATAATAATAATAATAATAATAATAATCAATAATCAATAATTGTGATCTGATCGGACAATTTATTATATACATTATGGGAGTAGTTGCATTTTGTCATGGAAAACAGCCAGGTAATAGTAATAGACATGTTTACATAACTTGTTTACAACATCAGTAGAAAGAAAGACTCCAATTGAGCGTTAATAATATTGTAATAACTGTGAAATTTGTGAATGAAAAGACAAACCGTAATTAAACACGGTTGATCTTGGTTAAACGTTTTGAAGAAAGTTCAATTTCAATCTTCATAGTTCATTATAACCAAGATTTTGATGAAACAGAATTCTGGCACATACCGTTAGTTTCTGCGAAGCACTCTAAATTGAACAAAGTTATGGAGCCGACAGTATTACGCTTTTCAGAGCAAATAATGCACCGCTAACAGGTTAGCTGCAGCGTGTTGAAAGGTTAAGCTAAATTGTGATTTCGATTACAATATTCAAGGCAATATTTTATTATTATTGCAATTTTGTGCCGAATTACATGATCAAAGTAAACTTTTTGTACGGGGTTTGGTTTGCAAAAAAATAATGCTTGCTCATTACAAATGCTGCAAGGTTTGAAATCTTGAAACGAATAACTTCTATTATTGGGGAACTCGATTGTCATGATGGCTTACACTGTTCCTTCATTGATTCTACCAAACTAATTTGATTAGAGAGTTACTGGAAATAAAATCATTATTTTTCTGTCATAAAATGTTCCGATTTTTGGTCATACATTTTTCCAAAAAAGAAAGAAAAAGAAAACAAACCTTTTAACAATTGCCCAGGAATTTAACAAAATTGAGGTCTGGACTGACGTGATGTAAGCGATTTAACTTTTTATATAGCAATAGACCACAAGGAAAATTTTACACTATAAATTTATTTTTACATAAAAGGGTGCATTATAAATTTCTCAATATAGGACTATTAGAAAACTTGTGCTCGCGTTTATCTGAACCTACTGGTTAATCTTGGTCTTATCTGGCCAAATTATGCACTTCCGATCTTTCACAGTGCTAATACTTCGTTGCAAAGTCAAGACGTTGGCATATATGTCTTGGCTTCTTCTTGGTTGCTGCCTTCAACCCAGTCTCTTTTAAGGCACGACGTACTGTCTGGGGATTGATGTCTATATTGCTGACATTCCTCAACTCTCGGAAGTATTATCTGCCTTGCCTGAAGTAATCGTATGAATTATTCAGTTTCTTGTCCATCCGCCTTGACTTTTCTGAATATCTAGTTGTGTAGCAAAATATCAAAAAATGCGGATCAAAAAAGTGTAAACAATTTATTTTGGACAAATACATACTGTCAAAGTCAATGAGTTAATTAACTTTAAAAATTCATAGCTACAAAAGTTCTAAGTCTTTTCAATGAAATAAAAACGAATTGAAAGCCAAGAAGCAAGACTATTTGTGGAGTCCTGAGTCGATATGTTCAATAGTTACGCCAATTTTATGAATTGTCATACTAAGAATTATTCATGACATTGAAAGCAGCGGTTGGTAAATTTATCCTAGGTGAAAGCAGGCCTTATTGTAGGCGTAAAAATCTAATATTTGTTCGATATCGTGAGACTGTTACACCAGCTTGTTCCGCACAGTTCCGTGTGCTATATATAAATCCCACAGCAATAAACAACACCACATATTAACCAAGTAACCATGTCCCGACAAAAAGTGTCATTTATCCTTGTTGCTCTTCTGCTTGGACTGTTCGCTCTAGTGGCTGTGACGTTCAACCAAGGCTTTTTCAAACAAAGCCCTACTGCTGATGTCAAAACTTGTAAGTAACAACAGAGTTGGTTTCAAGTCAATCTTGCTTTCAGTATGATGACAACATTTCTAATTGCTTGAAATACGAAGCGCAAAATAAATACATCATTGTGCTCAAAAACGACGCAACTCCAGAAGATTTGGAGAAATTTGAAGCAAATATTATTAGCTCTGGAGGTAAAATCATCCATAGATACACGGAGGTTCTCAAGGGATTTGCAGTCACGATGCCTGAAGACGTAGTTATGACCATGAAAGATGACCCCAGCGTAGACTCTGTTGAACTCGATCAACCAGGTAGAGTATTATGCACTAGACAACAACATAACATGTTAACTGAGAATGATTTATACTGATGGTTATTTATTATTCTGTGTAGTGAACGCCTATACAACCTAGACGAAAGGTAGTCCTTAGTTCCTGATGTTTGTTCTAGGCCAACTCGTAATCAATGAAGATATTATTCATTACGTTTCTTTATTCATAAAGAGAATATTAACGACCATCATGTAATATTAACTCTATAATTTATTCAATAATTCATCTTTTAAAAGTAAGATGCAATCGCTTAAAAGTTTTCTGTTGCTTTATTAAATTTGCGATAAGTTACGTATGCTTCATTTAACATATAAACTCAATGGTTTGTGAATTGATATTAGATGCGGTAATGATGGTAGCGACCACCTATTAGCGATAAAATTAGATACACTTTGATATGACCATCGATATTCTCACGAGCGTTTTACTATTCCTCTTCCCTATTGGTCAAAAAAGTATGGGATGAACAGAATCATTAGAAAAAACGAGTTAGTATGTGATATACAAAATGTATATACTTTTGGGAGCATGTTAATTAATTCACACACGTACGTATCGCAGTCACTTCGGACGTCCTTTGCGCTCTCGCCTCTAATCACTCGAAAAGCAATTCGAAATATTAAATAAAGCCAGAAATTGATTAACGCTTGAAGGGATAGAAACATTGATAAAAAGAACCGCTGCGAATTCTGTGTGAAATAGAAGCCTTCTTCGGGCAACCAATTATATGTGAGATATTGATGAGATTCCGCCCAAGTGGAATAGATGACAAAACCATAAAGAACATGTCGCGTTATAATCCATGAGACCATGAAGAGCACAAACAGGACATCGCATACTCTGTTATAACCAAGGTATTTTAGCGTCTTGGCGAGCTGTAGAATACGGACAAATAGAATATAATGCGTGATGAGAGGGAAAAAGTGAAGACAAAACGATCAACTAGTCTGTATTGTTCCGTCATGATAAAACACGCTTGCGGCATACTCACTGGCAGCAAAATGTCTGCAAAATCCATAATACATAACACAGCATTTCCAATCCGGGTATAATTACAATAATATGACACTCCTATCAACGAAATCGTAATCACATGGTGTATAACCATTTCTGCAAAATCCTTTCGCCTCTTTTCGATATTAATAACAAAAACTTGTTGCACCCAGAAGGAGAATTGAACTAAGTAGTACCACTTGAATATGTAAGTAAGATGGGTATGTGGATAGCCTTTCCAAAATTGTGATGTATCAAACCAATGCGGTGAATGATACATAACGTACTGGTGATAGAGGGGAGGACAAAATGACAGTTAACGGAAAGACTTATGTACGAGATTGACTATTAAGACACTGAATAGAATTAACTCAACCATTGACGGCTGCTACTAATTACTAGTGAGAGCTGTCGTTCATATATTAGCTTAACAAATGTAGCCTTCAATTTCTCATTGGTACAATTAGCCCACACATATGTTAATTCTCCATTCCATTCAATACACCTTCCTCCAATTCTCTATTGGCGCGTTCTTCTCTACATCCGTATTCTCGCTTACCATTCCTAATGTCCAAGATGTGGAATAATATATGAACAGCCATCCCTGCTCAGCGAATCTTGTCGTTGTTTTTATACCCTCTTTTTTTGCAATGGGAATAAGTAAATGTTCCATTACAGCTGCCCTTAGGAATGTAAACACAATGACCCAGAAAGATACGAAGTATATGTCATCTTTTCCCTTAGCATAGAGTCCAGTTTCTGGGTCTCGATATTTAATAAACAGAAACTTTTCAGCCTGTTGGACACCACACAAATACGCCATTCCTATAGTACTTATAACGGCTAGTGGAAGTTCTAACGGTAGAAGAGCATATGAGCTGCATGAGTATTGTTTCAGACGGAAAAATAAGCTTACATGTATAGTGATTGGTCTGCCTGGAATTAACTGATGTTCGCGTAATCTACATACAACATACCTATCTGATGCTTAATCAAGAACTCCGCGGCCCTTGAGAAGGTAGTTTTTCTCGTAGGTTTCGTGGATTTTGCATGTTTCTCTCGAAGTTTATCCTGTTGTGTTCCATTGGTTGATTTCTTCAGCGACATGGCGAGAGGGATGAAGGTGTTGAAAGAGAAAGGAATTTCATATGCAAAGATGCCGGTAATCATAATTGTGTAGATGTAGTGTTTGATTGGTGACTGGTTTGGTGATGCAGGGTCTTGATAAGCCACAAAAAAGCACCGCCACCGATCTTCAATCACGCTTGTAGTGCTTGCTAGGAGTGTTTCTGTTACTAATTCACTAGCTTCTTTATAATAAAAAGTCAATTGTTCAATAGTCTCTTCTTCCAATTTATTTTTATCTCAGCATTCTTGCTGTTAGATTTGTAGATCGATCTTTAGTATGATAATACTATTTTGTTCATGTATTAAGGCATACGTGCGCTCATAATGGTTACTCAAATATACTTCAACTTGGCTATTGGCAAATCTTAGATTTTCACTGCATTTTCTTTTTTGGGTCGATTAAACTGTTTGCATTCCATGTATTAGTATTAGTCTAAAAAGCGCATGGGTTTTCTCAACTCAGATGTGTCAATCCTTGCAGATCATGAACTTGTAATGATACAGAACTATACAAGTATGTTCTCGTTCATATACTCTTACATTATTACTCTAATGCATTACAGCTAACACTTTCTACGTTTCAAAATATTAACATATAATTCGGAAAACCTATGTCGGCCTCAAGATTAATGCAAATTCTAGCGAACGTCCTAGTCACTCAGTAGAAAAACATGCGCCGGCATTAATTCAAAAACAGACCATTAGAAATAGATATATTAGCAAATCCTCTGGGACATTGCCAACTAGAACAAATGTTTGGTGTTAGCCAAGGATCAGTCGCATATTTTACTAAACGATTTATTGAAGCCATTCTGGACACCCTCCAACATTATCAAACCCGCATACGTTGTGGATGTTTGTTTGTATAATAAAGGATCCAAGGTTTTTTTGCTTCTTAGGCATTGCAATGAATATGAAAAAAATTTTTCTTGATGCTCCATCCCATGTATTGCTCTCGTCACATCACATCGATCATATGAGATGTCTAGTTCGAATTATGTTCAATTTAGGGATGCCCCTTTCGGGAGGGCATCAAATTGACGCCCTTTGATGCTCCCACCAAATAACTTCCATTTTTATCATCGATTTCCAAATTGATCGGGGCATCAAGCTGTTGAGAAGGCTCTTCATTGAGTAAACTCCTACCTCAATTACAATATGCTTAATATAGGACTATATCTATATAAAAATATAAATATGAAACTAATTTACATCAATCCACTATGGAACCCAAGAATTACAGTACTATTAGAAGCATTCTAAAAAAAAAGCTCAAAGAGAAAAAATTGCTCCATGCATTTTTAAAATCAATGATACCAAAATTCTCGAGGAATATCTAGATAAAAAAAATAATCACTTATTAAATTACTAATTTTTAAATTACTGCCTTGATTTCAATCAAAGTCATCTCTTATTTCCTTTAACTTCAATTTGAGCAATATGTTGAGTTTGCTGTTTTCTTAAAAATTTAACTTCACTTTCAAGTCTGAATTTTATCTAACATTCTTGCCTTTGCTTGTTATGCCAATCCTAACTTCTAAGGCTTCCAAGTGAGAACTAATTTCTTCCTTAGCATTAGTTAGTTGCTGTTTCAAGTCTTTATTTTGTTGTTCCAATCTACCCACATAACTCTGTGCATTATTTCTGTTATTGTCTAAGTTTTAACTGGCTCATATTTCCTTAAATCACAGAAGCAGTCTACCCTGTTTCTCATAATTCGACTACAATCATTACAGTGTAGCAGAGTATCATCATCAAGAGCTTTTTTACACTCAACACAAATATAAGCAATGTCATCGTAATCATTGTTGCTTGTATTAGTATTGTAAGATAACATTTTGTAAGTAGCAGTTAAACTTCTTTCTCTTTCAAAGGGGCAGAAATTACAATGTCATTTATCTCCTCTCTTTAATATTAACTCATTAGCTTGATATTCTAATTTCATGCTCTTTATCCTTTTATTTTGTAAAAAATAGGTGCTGAATTTTTCTTGAGTTATTGCTTTTACTTGCTTAATTCTGGTTTTTAATTTTGTTAGTTAGATGTTTGAATTTTTTTTTTCTTTCTTTGGTAAGGATGGTATTGCTTGCCAGATAAATATTCCTGCCATGCCACAATATTTTCCAATGTTTCTATTTTTCTTGAAGCTTTTTCTAAATTGTCATCTTTTTCTTTGCTTTGCTATTGCCTTACCTTCCATTGCCTAGCCACTTCAAGAGCCTTTAAATGACATTCAGAAATGTTTTCCTCTAATTCTAATACTCTTTCTAACTCTTTTATTTCTTCTTCTAGTTCCTTAATTATTTGGTCCTGCTTTTTTCTAAATCTTCTAATTTCTTCTCAAATTCTCTCCTTTGTTCAGTAAGTTGGTAACCCCTTTTACTATTACTTCAGTTTGAAATATATTCAAGGTAAGTGGAGCCTAATTCATAACTCTTTTACAATTCTTGGCTCATTCCCTAGTTTATTAGGGTCTACTGTCATTTGTAATTTGCCTTCATCCATTCATTTTTTGTTTAATTTTTTGTATCATCATGTTCCCCTAGGAGCATACATATTAACTTCATCCTTTCGTCAATAGACTGACCAGTAACATGTCAGATTTTTAACTTAAGTTCTTCAATTTTTTGTTTGCTTTTCTTATTGATGTTATTTATTTCTTCTAATAATTGTTTGTTTTGCTGTTCAAGTTCTGTTATTACTGTTCGGACCCATTCTAGGATTTGACCCATTCTAAGAACGGGTCAACCCATTCTGGGATCCTGAAATGGGTTGGCCCATTTCGATTTTTGCGATGTGATAATCTATAATCATTTCCGATTAT